GATTAACTCCTACATACAATCTTACTAATTTTGCCTATTTATATAGGTTATATCACTAGCTTTTCCAAAAGTGACTTCCTGCAGATTTTTGGTATAAAAACTATCCTATATCCTTTCTCGAGTTCCAAACTATGTCTTTACCAAATTTGACAGAAATTGGTTCAGTAGTTTAGGGATGAAGAAAAGACAGACAGACAGACAGACCGAGTTACTTTCGCATTTAAGTGGTAAGTGAATATCACCACCCAAAACTAAAGGAGCTACAGTATCCTAGTATACCTGAAACCACAAGATGCAAAACTATTTGAAATGAAAATCCTTTTAAAATGTAGTGGGACGCTAAAATAGATTTTCTCGAAATTTCTACGGCATCAGGAAAAACTGGACTTAAAAATAAGTTAGAATCAAATTAGAAGTATGTGATCCGTCGATTTATTTAAGTACTAGTGATTCAGCGAATATTCTTATTGGTATTTGATAGTTAATTGACTTGAACTTATCAATGCTCAAAATTATTGAACACTATTCATCGTCGTTGTTCACCGCAGGTTAAGCTCGCACGAGTGTGTGAGTTCGAAACTAGTACCGATGTAACTTTAATTCATCAAATCCCAAACGAACGCCGGCGCTCACTCACTTATTGTTCTACTATTGTGTCTCGATTTATCACGATTGAAAGATACGTATAAGAGACTTATAATAGTATATAGGGACAGAGAAAGCGACTTTGTTTTATACTATGTAGTGAAGTGATGTCGTTTTTTATCATTTTGTGTATTTTAAACCTTAAATAGATGGAAAAAGAATTCTAAAAAATTTCAAGTTATAAATCAGTTTTTCTTAAAACTGTTGTCGATAAGGTTTTTATTTATGTTTACGTAGAAAGTGAGATAGTGAGGAATCCTGTACGCCGGTAATTCGATTTGGTAACAGATTCAGACGAGTCGTAATTATACTTAATTTATTTATAATTTAAATACGAAGTTAAATGTTTGGCTAATGAACACTTAAGATGTTTTTAAGACAGACTTATTTAATTTGACCTTTTTTCCATCTTAGATATTTTTTTATTTTAAATATATGTAAGGAACGTTCTGGTGTTTTTTTGCTATTAATGGAAGTGATGTATAAATAAATGTTTTTTTTAAATATACATCTTGATTTTTTACGAAGATGTTTGATGATTAATTGATTGGATTACACGACTTACTCAAATGGACCTCGAGTTTTTTTGTATATTTCGTAATGGGCAGGCATTTGACCACTTTTAGGCCTGGTGGTAAGCTACGATGGAGCACGCCTATCCATAACCAACCTATTTACTCAGGCCATCGGGGAACACTGACTCAAAGAAAGAATTCCACTGATCATCGGTTCCGATGATAAAACTGAAAGGGAACCACTTTGTGCGTGTGGGCGGGATATCTACCATGAAGCGATGACGTTTTGCCTATTGTCTGAAGGTACGAAGGTAGTAAGGAGTAGAGATAATCAAGTTGTGGAGCTCCCCTGAACATTCACTGAAATATACCAGTAAAAAACCAAAAGCTCGGAACTCTGCGCCAGTATTCAAGTCTTTGAATTCGGGCTTCCACTAGCGCATAGTCGTTGGTTTTGAAACAAGTACTCTATGAGTAGGTATTTGAAAACTAACATGGACTATTATTACTTAATCAAGGTCAAGATCAAGATATGCTTCGAATTACAAACAGGCGAATTAGCAAACAAAAAAAATATAAAAGAAATAATAATAAAAGTTTTTTCTTAATGTTTTCTGAATTCAATTACCTACTAAGCGAATTTTTTTCTTAGGCGTTTATTTACTTCGAATGTGATTATTTTAATTCTTACACACGTTACGAAAAGAAAGTACCGATTTCACGAAAACCTAATTAATGTTACTAGTAATAAGGACAATATCATAGTTCTTATTTTATTATTTTTTTAAGAGCGTTGACTAATTTTTTAAATAATTTTTGTGGATAAACAGTCACTTAATAAATTCTCCATGTTGCTTTACCTCAACTATAACTAATGAGGGATGCTAAACATTGAATGCTGTACACAGTTTTAATTGAATTTGATAAATTAACGTACTGTGTGTGGTCCTAACTGTAACGATTGTTTATTTTCAGTCTGAAGACAGAGTCAGAATTAGGTAGTTTCCTAGGTCAAAAATAAATTAATTCGACGTTTCAATACAATAAAATATTGAAAATAACTATATTTTTATTCATCGATCGATCAAAACACTGAATTTTAGATTTTAAGAAATAAGTAAACTATTTGACGCAAAAAAAACTATGACGTCATAACTCAGTTTTTCATACAAATTTCATAGAAAAGTATCGTTTTTCACATTTGGATAAAAGTATTGAATTTGTATGTTAAAAAGAAAGCCGCTTTCTCTGTCCCTATATCCTATATAGAAGTTTTAAAGATTTTAACATCTATGTAATATGCTTAAGTCAAAAAACTACGCAACGAATTTTGATGCGGTTTTTTTAATGGATACAGTAATTATTAAACAGTGAAAGAATTTAGTATCAGTTTTACACCCGTGCAAAGCTGGGGCGGGTCGCTTCTTTAAAATAAGATAAAACAAAATTCTATCGTAGTAATTCGAATTTTAGACAATTTTTACTTAAAAACTTCACTTAAACTGTCACCAACCTTATAGTGATAACCGAATATAATAGATTATCTTAGTATATTTTACGTTATAAAACAACACGACGTTGTCCTTCACCGTATGTCAGTGGTGTCTTAAGGAACTTAGAAATTACCTACATTATGATTTGGAAAAAGTCACATTGGTACTTGTCAGTCACCGAACCCACCTCATGCATGAGAAGTGGGCGGCTTAACCTTTGGGCCACCACGACATAATTAGTCAGTATTTTGTTTTTATGTAACAGGTTGGCAAACGAGCAGACAGATTATGGTGATGGTAAGCAATCAACGTCGACCATGGACACCCGCACCCGCAAGGAGGAGTGCGTTGCCGACCTTTTAGGGATTAGGGATTTGGAGATTTAGGGATTGAGGAGGGATTGGGGTGGGAAAGAATTGGGCCTCCGGTAACCTCACTCACACGGCGAAACACAACGCTGTGGTTGTTTCACGCCGGTTTTCTGTGAGGCCGTGGTATAACTCCGGTCGAGCCGACCCATTCGTGCCGAAACATGGCTCTCCCACACTCTTTGATATTATTACTATGTTTTTAAACGTGCAAAGATGCGAGCAAGACGTTTTAGTATTTATAAATAATATTTTCTTTATTTTATAAACATGTTAGAAATTGCCATTGTTTTAGACGTACGATACACATGAATATTTACGTGATCAAACTTATAATGATGTAGTTTTACTATAGTGAAAGGAAGTCAAATGATAATTTTGTAGCACTATTACTTGTACCTAATATTAATTGTTAGACTCAGTTTAATTCAGTTTTTTATCATAGATTTTTCTACATTACACAAAAAGTTTAAGAAAAGTATGTTTGTGTAAAAAGCCCTCGGTCATTTATTTATAAATTATTGTTGATTTGATTTTTTTTTCAATACGTTGTTATGAAAATTTTGATGTAACCATAACCTACAATTAGCACCTAATTTTAATTCAGTTTAAATTTAACTATTGCGTATGAAAAAAAAATTAAAAATACCAGTTTATACACGCGGTAAGACTCATATGTTTTTTAATACTGAAAAAATAATTAATTTGGGTAGCCAATAAATAAATTGTTTCAACCTCTCATCAATTGAATAAAATATTTTAAATATAATTTACACATTTATAAATTGCCAACATATTATTATAGCAAAAAATATAACTGGCAATTATTTTGAAAAAGGAACTATATTCGACGCCCAAAACATGACGTCCTGACTTACAAATTCAAATGACATTTATAGAATACTCGCAGTTTTTCTTGAATTTTTTATTGGTACTTAGGTAATCATCGTATGTTTTTTTTATAAAAATATTTTTAATGTGACTTGTAGCGAACGCCTTTATTAAATATAAGGTTTTAAATGAGATGTTAATACAAATTACACATAATATCATCGAGCAGGTTTAATAAGGGAATTTATTTATCTTTTATTTGTTTATTATTATTGAAATGTATAAGTATATGTATATTATTTTAATACAATATCTCACAAAATTGGAATATCTGGGCTCATAAGATATAACCATTTCTCCTGATGACGAAGATATCCATAATAAAAAACGTGATTCTTTTTAATTTTTTCACCATTTTAATATGACATTCGCCGTGTGTTTTGAACTTTTAACAATACCTATACGAAACGTAATTGAGGTAATTGTTTGGTTGAATAATTAATAAATACCATCGATACGTGAACTTAATTATCGATATGGTAGTAAACTGGAACGTTTCCTAATTACGATTGTACATAATTTAAAAAGTTTTCTAGTAATTTCTTTATAGAATATTGTTATTCGGATATAGATTATAAAGAAGTTTTTTTTTGTACACTATAATGTTTATGTTTAAAGTGTATATTTTTTACTGTATGAGTAAATAAAAGTTAAACATTTTAATTAAACATATTGTGAAAAAAACGTAAATAGCTTAGAGCAATTTTATAACAATGAGTTTTTATATCGATTTTTGTAAGTTTTTAATTCAGTTTATAATTATAGAGCCTTCTACGTGTAGGGTATCTCTAATAATATCCTCGTTATAAACAGATATTCTATTATCACGATCCCAAATTGTTATAAATACGACGGTCAGCGTCACTCGATTCTAAACTTAAACGAATTAAAAAAAGAGGAAAAATCGATTTTTGCTTTGTTTGCGTCATGTTCGCAAGAACATGTTTATCTTTGATTAAATTTAAAAAAGATTTTTCGTTAAATTCTAAAAAAATAAGAATATATTTAAAAAAAATCATTTTTTAAATAATCATTTTGTAAAAATATTAATCGAAAATAAACTTTATGCTGGAGAACATATGACTTACCTTTTGTCGTAGTAGGAAGAACTGGAACAGCAACTGCCGCTAAACACTCATAACTTCGGAACGCAACTTTAGCACGACGCTATAACGCGCGGGAAACTTGCCCACAACTGATCGAAAGCGCGCGAAAACTCCGCTACTTACGCACAATCCCAGCCAATCACAGCACCCATACGCCTCCGCGAAACAAAACCAACCAATCACGTTAAAGGGGAAGCACTTAAAAACTTTAATAGGTTTTTCATGTTGACACTTTTGAAATGCTCTCAAAATTATTGGAAAAATTATCATTATCGTTAGATAATTGCGTGAATGGCTTTTCGCGTATGATGCTTTTACGTTAAATATTTTATTTGACAATGTTGTGATAAGTTGATGAAAGGGCCGACTTTTTATTAGGCTAGTTTTGTTGATAGGCGCCTACTCGTGATTATATTTCTTGTAACTTAACTATGCGTCAACAATTACAATAAATCATAGTCGTCATTTAATTCTGATAAATTCATTCATAGTTGAGTTTTTACATGAGTAAAGATATAAAAGAAACACTCGTGTAGGCGTAGTAGTATGTATAGATATTTCTATTTAGCCACAATTATCCATTTGTTTTGTTCACTATTTTAACCATGAATATTGTTTTTAGATTTATTTACACAATTGTTTCAAACTATATTCACATGACTAAAAATAGATTTGACAAAGAATTTTGATGTTGATGTACTTAGTAGGTAGTAGGTATGCCTGGTTTATTTTACATTTTCAATTAATTTTAATTTTTAAATAACTGTATTGGTATATTGGCGCCTAATTAGAAATAATTAACCGCAATTAAATTTACAAGCAAATCAATAATGAAACATGCAAGTTGTGAATCTCATCACAACCCAACCAATAAATAAAATGTTAAAAAAGTTTGTATACCTCATATTTTTAATCTGTTCCTTGCCACAAGTCGAGGTTTTATTTTCGTCCTCAAAGAAAAACAGAAGTGTTTTCTGTTTCACGTCTCAAGTTACAAAGTCAACTCAAAAAACTAATATCCTTTGAGAAAACTTAAATAAAAGCTCATACAAATGCCGTAATAATATGTTATTAAAGTCTGTAGACATTTATCAAGAAAAGCCCGCATACTTTGCTAACTAAACGCATCGTGTATAGAAGTTTTCTTCCCGCCATTCTAGGATTTAAAAAGCGAATACTTATTTTATTTTTATTTTGGCATCTCACTGATTGGCAGGTGGCGTGTTCTATTTACGATTTTTTTTACCAATGATCCTATCTCAATCTCGAATTGGCGATGCCGGTGAAGTTTATAAGGAATAAAACAGCCGTTGTTTTACGCTGGTTTCTGTGAGGCCGTGGCCGAACCGGTCCATTCCTGCTGAACCATGGCTCTCCCATATATTTGAAAGTACTAATGCTATAAATGTAAATGTAATAATCACTTTATGTTGTATCATTTAAGTGATAGCGTGAAATTTAACTCTAAAATATGAAAATTTTTACGACGGGAGCATAGTTTGTTCGTGTTAGAGTCCGTTTTGTCACAAACTATTCATCACTCTCGTTGCGTTGTCTGTTCAAAAGTTCGAGATAAAAACGTTCCGGCCGACAGCCATGCAACTAACTTTGTTGGAGATTTTTTTGTTTTTTTTTTATGCGTTATTTAATGTATATTCAGATGACCTTCCACATCTTGTATTTGTCTTGGAGTTGTAAATAAAACGTGTTTCGATCCGAAGTCATTTATTTCTCGTAGGGTGAAAGCAACAGAGCGCATAGATATCAATCATTGTAACACGGCAAGACGAACTTTTGAAAATACGTCCCTAATTACAATATTCATATTAACTTTGATACATTAGGTAGGTACTTTATATTTAGATAACATGATATTAACTATTCAAAATGTCATACATAGCATACTCGGTATAATTTTTTCTTCTCATTTCGTTATTTAAAACATACATATTGGTGACCGCAGTAAAATAACCCATTATTTATATATTTACAGTGCAATATACGGGCAAAAATGAGCAATTATTTAATTATTACAAAAGTAATTTTGTTTTGTGAGCGTTGATCTGGAAACACATCATACATATTTCATGGCACTGCGTAGGTATGTGTGAATATTTTTTGTTGAACCAACGCACGTTGTAATCATTTTATTGTTCATTCGGTGCAGTTATTGGAAATTACAAATCCATGCCCTGATTTCTAAATTTGAATTTTAACGGAATTCAGCCACGCAGTTTTGTTTTCTTTTGTATTTAGAATGCGTTTAAGACAATGATATTATAGTAAAATGGTGTAAATAGGTTACATAAACAACATTCGATTTTCAAAAAAAGGAACACTGATGCACACATGAACAATTCGTATGATTAGACGTCAAAGTGGGATGGCATGATTCAATAATCGCGAGTGTAAAAGAGACAAATGTAAAAAAGTGTTGCTAGTTAGCCTATCTACACCTTTATACTTATAATACCATTGGTTAAAGAAAGTTAAGAAATAAACATATTTTTTTTTTAGGCTGAGAACAAAGATATTGTAGAGACCACTATTATATATGGTCTATATAAGATCTTTGGCTGATATTCATTATACACCGTCCGGGGAGATGGTGAGGTTATATGGGGATTGCACCAACAAAAATATTACAATTCCATATATATAGACATTATACTCAGACCCCGAACTAGGAGGTGTTCTGTGCGGGAATGTAGCCCGCTACACGTCTCAAAGAAGCCATATGGTGCTTTTTAATTATTTTTATTTTAAGAAGACTTACAGATAAATTAACTAATCTATACTAATATAATAAAGAGGTAAAATTTGTAAGTTTGTATGTAGGGTGTAATCTTTGAAACCGCTGGACGGCTTTCCAAAATTCTTGCACTGATAGATAAGCTACAATATTCCTGAGTGCTATAGGCTATAAAACATCACGCAACGATCTGTAGGAGCCGAGCAGCCGGTGAAACCGCGCGAGAGTAGCTAGTAGTTAATAATATAATTACGGTAATCATATCACTAGTGACGACAAGCCTCCACAGATAATAAGTAGATGTGTCGATTACAATAATTAACAATAAGTACATAGGTATCTAAATACTCAAAACGGCGTGCTAAGTGTTTCTAGTACTTTTTTTAAATTCAGAAAATGAACGGTCCAAAAGTCTTCTCTCTGTATTAGTTCTTTCGGTTCGGCTTCCATGAACTCTGTCCGCAGACTCAACTCTTATAGCCAATTTTGAAGTAGACTACCACGCAGTCCAGGATTTCTTTTGAATAGACGGCGGTGGTTTCATACCCGTACATCCGCAACATGCCGGCTTCATCTAGTTTTTTTAACATAGATTTTGACGTGTAAAAGTGTCGTTTTATGGCCTATTTGCAAAAATAAATTCATTGTTTCATTGGTACACAACCACTGTTTGTGTTAAACAAATTGTTGTTTCTTCTGGTTATCAGAAGAGTGTAAAATTTTAAGTACGTTTGTAAACGCACCCACAAGGCAGAAGACGAATCTTAGTATAAGGCAAGGTATCAAACACATTTTTTATAAGCAGATAAGTAAGTGACTGCATGACTACTGTAAAAAGTGCCAAAAGTTCGATTCCCTCGCGGAACATCACATTGTTCGATCCACAAATTGTGGTTTCGAGTATGGGTTTTAAATATATAAAGATAAAGATAACTTTATTCGCTATGTTTTTATAATAACTATCGTGAGACATACTAAATTCGCGACGACGTCGCGCAGCCTACTAAGACTATTAAGGCGCGACGTCGCCGCGTCCGCGCACGCTGCTCATGAGGAAGAACCCCTCTGTGGTTCGAAACCAGTAGAGCTTTTCTCAATATTTACAAGTGAGTAACCCGCGATTTTTAGTTAACTTTATTCGCATTAGTTTGATGTTAATTTATTTATTTATAAACACACTCACGACATTGAAGAGAATCTTAGTGTAATAAAAAAGAAAAATTAAATAAAAGTCACAACTCAATTTTGACGAAAACAAACACTATTATACCTAGGTACCCTAAACTAGTAGAATCTAGATAAAACAGAAGATGGACGATGACAAAACACAAAGACTCCAATGTTTGCTGCCTCTGTTTGAGACGAGTCAGTGCAGTGCCTGGCGTTAAATATTGCACATCAAAACTATAACAGTATTATACGAATAGACTGATTCTTCCTTCCGCGCGATTTTGCCCACTACTCGGCTACTATTGGTCGTAGTTTTATTATATTAACACAGATATGTTATACGCTCACAAAACGCACGAAAAATGTGTCCCGCGCCAAGCGTCACCTCACCACATCCCTTTATATTAATTGTACATATCACTACAAGTTAAAATTGTAGAAAAAGGATAGTATGATAAATCCAACAAGAAAAAACGAATTAGCTATTGTTATCAATTACGTACTCAACGTAAACAAATATTATTTTAAGAGAGACTAATTGCACTTGCATACAATTGTATCCTTTTCGAGTCTTCACTTTTGCGCGTTTATAACATATCTGTTACTATACAATATCATTGTAGCACCTAATGGACTGTCCAACACAAAAAGAATTGTTCGATTTGAAACCAGTAGTACCGTAGATTGGCTTGTTCAAACAAAAAAACTCTTCAGTTTTATAATAATACTAATCAGGCACACTGCGGATATCGTCAGTCCACCTAGCTGAAAGGTGCCTTACACAACGTTTGCCTAGACGCGGTTTCCTCACCAGAACACGTCTAATCAGACGGTCATTGGTTCTTAGATAAATGTAGGCCACATTTGTCCACTGCCACTTCAGTTTGCTGTTCCTTTGGGAATATTTTTACTTGAATTTTATGGACAATATTTTTTAACTAGCTACTCTCGCACGGTTTCACCCGCTGCTCGGCTTCATTTAATCGTAGCGTAATGTTTTTTAGCCTATAGCACTAAGGAACATTGTAGCCATCTATCAGTGAAAGAATTTTGGAAATCCGGCCAGCAGTTCCAAAGATTACCCCCTACATACAAACTTAAAAATTTTACCTCTTTATAATATTAAGTATAGATTAATTGAGAAAATAAGACTCAATTGATGTCGATCT